AAACATCTGCCCACTGGTATTTTGGTTTTCATAGCCCAGCATACACTTGTGCAGCTCCACTATTGGATATGAATTACAGTCATATCTCTCTTATCTGGGCGGTTCGGGGGGCATAGCATGCACTGTCTATAACTCTGCATCACGTACGTTGTGATGATGTCACTATTTCTGCAAACATTGGCAAAAAGAGTAGTAATACTTCCACTTTAAAACTTGCAGGGTGCCCGGTAGACCGAGGTGCCCGTAACTTTGAGGTCCGGATAAGAGAGATACGAGTGTATTGGCACTGGTGAAATGTGTCATGTGTCATGCATGCTATTCTCCATCTGTGTACATGTAGATTACTGCTGAATGAAATCCGATTGCGTTTATCAAGTTGGCGTAGCCCTGTGCCAGCTCACACCCCAGTGTCCACAGGTCTAGGGTGCCGGGCTGCACAGCACTCGGCGTGCCGTTCACACGCTTTTGATCGAATTCCTTTGGCATTGAGCAGCAGTGTACAACAACCGTGTCTTGACAAGTCCGCAAATTACAACTCCCTTACAGATGCATGTTGTAATGCTGTCCATGATTTGTTTTGTGTTGTACTGCTCGTGTTGTGTCTGCTACTTCACATCGGGACCATTTACTGCGGCACGGGTCACCTGCTTGCTACATGCGCTGCATTTGCCCCACAACCCATGATCAGAACTGGGTAAGTGTTCCCCGTATTCATGATAATGCTCGGTCACCACCCTTATTCAAGATAATGCTCGGTCACCACCCGTATTCATGATAATGCTTGGTCACCACCCGTATCCATGACAATGCTCGGTCAACACCCGTATTCATGATAATGCTCGGTCACCACCCGTATTCATGATAATGCTCGGTCACCACCCGTATTCATGATAATGCTCGGTCACCACCCGTATTCATGATAATGCTCGGTCACCAACCGTATTCATGATAATGCTCGGTCAACACCCGTATTCATGATAATGCGCAGTCAACACCCGTATTCATGATAATGCTCGGTCGCCACCCGTATTCATGATAATGCTCGGTCACCATCCGTATTCATGATAATGCTCGGTCAACACCCGTATTCATGATAATGCTCGGTCACCACCCGTATTTATGATAATGCTTGGTCAGCAGTAGCAGCAGTCACCATACTATAATGTGTAGGCCAGTGCTGTTTCATGTTGCCTTCCTTTAAACTAACTGGCACACGCAGGTTGATCGGTACATCTGCAATATGCAGTGACGGTGTTTGCACTCGTACTTACATAGCCATAGTACAAAGTAGCAACCCCACGTATGCCCGTACACATGCCCCATCGACCTCCCGGTTCCGTTTCAACACAAGATGCATCTTATTATGCAAAGTTGGGACAAATTGTGCGTTGTGGACGCACAGGATCTGACCCGGCATGTGGCGAGCATGACCGTCGTGGTGTTCTGTTGTCACTGTTGCATACGTGCTCTCGTGTGTGCTGCCACGGGCCAGGTCACAACTGGGGGTCTCAGCATGACTCAACATCAACATGCATATCAGATAGCAATGGCCGCTATCTAATGAACCAGTATGCTTTGCCCGGCACAGAGACGAACAACAATGTAAGTCGGCAACTTTCCATCAGATTGCTCCATGAGAACAATGTGTTATTCAACAGCAACAATAAAAGCTGGGAAACTTGCACAGCTGGCAAAACGGGTTTATATCCCTTCTGGCATCCTGGCAACCTACATTTGTTTTCCCATGACAAAACGCATTGTAACGTTATACATGACATTTGCATGCATGCATGCATTGTGGACTAAGTGTGTGCTGCAACATTGAATGACAACAACTTCCCCCGGCGAGTATTTTGGCCTGAGCATTTACTGTGAAACGTCAGTACCTTGGAGCAATCATACTATACTTTGGGATACGACCTACTTACAGGACCCTACGTATGCTTATCCAGTCACCTAGCCTGGGGTGGATAGAGGAGTTTATGATCTTTGTGTTCCTGTTCTATGCTTGGGTTGTTTAGATTTTCTCCGCTTGCAGTCTTCAAAGTATTGGCACGGTCCTTGTTGGAAAGCAGGATACGTGCTTTGTTGGTAAGTCATCGGAGTGTTCTCCCTCATGCATGTGACAGTCTGCCATGATTTTCCGTGTGTTACAATAATACGATTGTGCCATGCCCAATGCATAGCATGTATCCTATTATCGATATAAAATCGTTAAGCTCCAAGTCTATAGACTTAGCAATCGCCTGCACTTGACTCTTACGCTATGTTTTCCCCTAGGTAATTCTGGCCTTGCTTCCTCTTATGTTCAGGCTTCCGGTTTTGGAGCCATCAGTTGCCTGATGATCGTGACTATGTGAAGCTCAGAGTTGCAACACAGCTTCCCCTCAGTCTTGTGTAAAATCAGTTATGCCGGTGTGTGTGTGTGTGTGTGTGTGTGTGTGTGTGTGTGTTTGGTTTCTAGATCGTGAGGGTTCGTTCTGTGGCAATGCGCTGCGTGAGGCTGATGAGCAGTGCGACGCCGGCTTTGGCAATCCGAATGACCCATGCTGTGCTGAGAACTGCCGATACCGGGACCCTACCTTCCAGTGCAGGTCAGTGCTTGAACACACTGTAGCTGGCTTGCAGCTTATCACTTTGCTTGTGCAAATGTGTTGAGATAATACGCGCAGGGCCGCTGACGCCAGGTCCAATGTATGGATAACTTGTGTCGAAAATGTATGCAATCCATCTTACAAACTCTTGTTTAGAAATTGTGTCCACAAAACAAGAAAGAAGTCAACTCGAAAATATTGACTGGGAATACAAAAGGAAAACATAGGGAAATGTTTCTACCAAGTGCTGGAAGAATCTCCGTATCAATGTCCCGATCAGCGATCAGGTGGCGTGAAGATGACATTTCTGACATTTCTGTCAACCAGCCACACCCTTTGCGAGCACTGTGTGGGCCGCATGTGGCTTGGTCTTCGCCACACTGGCCACAGATGTAAGCAGGTCTGCCCAATGATGTTACGGTATAGATAAGTTGACGTGCTGCCAGTGTGCAGATGCCAACTCGCCACTCCGCGAATAGAGAGTGCCTTCCGAAGTAGCCACTACACCAGTCACGGCTTACGGAAACCTTCCCGTACGCTATTGGGAAGGCTCAGGTTTGGTCAATAGAACTGGGGTTTTTTTTGCATTCGTGAGCTAACCATAGTGTATCTCGCACACAAATAGGACAGGGAAAGGAAAGGACGTTGGCAAGACCCCTTTGACCATGCCCTTCTCTCTTTCCTAATGCGCTCAATCCTCTCCGGTGTCAAAGTCAGAGAACCTTATTCCCACCCGGTCACTTCAGGAAAAGCGAAAGTTTGACACCTTTGACCAAGCATCTCTCTCTTTCCTGATGCTGTCAATACTCCTCGTGTCAGAGTCGGAGAACCTTTCTCCCTTTCCTGATGCGCTGAATCCTCTCAGGTGTCAGAGTCGGAGAACCTTATCCCCAAAGTCTATCACTTCAAGAAAATAACAAGAGCAAGACGCCTATCAGAGCATTCTGAATAACCGGTTTGCAAAGTTGTGCCATCTAAGTTGTGCCATGTATGGCAATCTCTAGAAGATGTCCCATGCAGGAGGACGCAAAACACCTCTAAATTATGTGGGGTGGTATACATGTAAATGAGAACAACAATGATTCGTCAACTAACAGCAGCTATAGCATGTAATGTATGTATGTCCATCAACCCAATAGAGAGAACAGGGAAACCGGTTTGGGAGAGAACCTTCTAGAAAGAGCTAGAACATAGCTAGAACATTTACCACCATAACATGTAAACACAACTACTAACAGCAACATGTATGCAGAGAGAACTGCTGCTGAGTCATACGTAGCAGGTAATCTAGACTAGGATTATCATAATCATTATGCAATGTGGGACTACAGAAGTAGCTACTTGTGAGCATCCAGACTACAGATTATAATAGAGCCAGTGCTGATGGTATATGACCTACATGTACTGCAGGCTATTGTCAGTAGAGAGTACAGTGCTAACATTTCCCCCCTTCACACAAACCCACATGTCCAACCGCTGAACTGGCTTGTGCCCCCGAGAGGAGTGACGGTTCCTAGTTGGTGAGATTGACTGGGTTAGCGGAGTAGGTGAACTCGGTGGTGATCCAGTCGGAGAGGGCGACGGAGAGGGATGACAGATCACTGAGATCAGGCGGTGGCGGCGCTGCCAATATCCGGTCCAAGGTTCGGCCCTGCTGGACTCCATCATGAGTTTCCACCGTGGCCTCATGGTTGTTCACTGAGATGACAACGGCGCGGTCGATTGCCCCCGAGGGTTGTTTCACGTGGGCCGAATCGCCTGCTGCTAGAGATGTTGCAGCAACGTGATTGCGCACATCATGGCAGGCCTTGGCAGCTGCCTTAACTGCTGCACCTCATCATCGGTGTCCATGTCATTGTCATCGGCATGGTGTGGTTGGAGTGACCTGAGTGGGGTAGAGTACCCACCACGAAGAAACAAGTCGCCAGGAGTCTTGCCCGTGGGGGCATTGATGGTGGCGCGAACCACTGCCGCTCGGAGAGTGCAGGAAGTTGACGTCTTCCCAGACTTCCTCATGTGCCGCTTGAGAGTCTGGTGGAAATACTCGGCCGGGTTCTGGAGGGTGTGTAGGGCACAGTTCACTCATGACTAGATTCTAGCAGGGGGAGTAGCATGCTCACTATCTCATCAGTGGTCAGACTCCAAAACCCTTCATCTGCCAATTCAGATGGGTTACTGCCACCCTCAACCACCGTACTCGGCTCAC